TTTATCCCTATGATGCCATCTTTCAGGACCTGAACTATATGAACCCATTATGTGAAAACAGGAGCTCTTCAAAATACTCCTTAGAAAAATGGTGAGTTATTCTCAGGTTCTGCAAATTGACAGAGATTAGTGAAAATTGTGTCCCCTTCCAAGGAAAACCCGACGCACTTTCCACAAGCACTCACAGAATTGTGCATTTCTCTAGAGGTTTGTAACACAGTAAGAAGATTGGTATGGATGAAATGTGAATAGAAATGTGTGTGAGAGAGAGACTGAGATAACAACACAGCAAGGGTTAATTTCCTTCTCTCTCTCTCGTTTCCTTATTAGTGCTAAATATCTGTAACACAATTCACCATGGCACTCCCTTTGGCAGCTGCTCGTTGTTAACTAAACACATATTCACATCAGATAAATACACTTCAGTGCTGTCTGTGTCATAAACTTCTAGTGATCACATACCCTCACTTCACTTCCAGTATCCACGAGTCTCCTGTGTAGACAGTGAAACCTGAAATAAAACACATGGTTTGCTTCCGAGAACCATCAACAATAACTAATGGTGGTAACGCATTTTTCATTAAGAAACACAACTCTATTATCGAAAGTTATTAATCTGCAGATTAGTAACAAAGCAATCCTAAATTGGCTTGGAAACCTGAAGTTTGTGTCACATTTTGTCCTAGAGCAATGAGAGTGCCAGTGATGCTAATTTCTGTAACGGAGACATCTTTCTGCTGCCAATAAACAGATTTCAGTGCAGAATGGAGAAGGACAGCCATGAGGCAGCCAGCACTTATGGTCACTGTGAAACCTTTCTGGATAGGAATTAGTGACTGAAGCAGAAAGGCTCTCATTATTCATCCTCCGAAGTATCCAGTATCATGTAAAAACTAATTCTTGAATCCAAACACTCTCCAACAAAAATAGTTCAGCAAGCAGCACAAAAGTGGCACGAAGGCAATCGCGACACATGCTTTCCAAGCTCCGAGGCCCATTCTGTTGTTATCTTTCGTTAATTACTCTGATTTAGAGAACAACCCATCAAACGGAGAAAAGCCAACTTCAATTTTCAAACCAATGCACTTGAAAAGATGCAGTCTGCTTTTGCCTTAAGATTTAGATGCCCACTGCCAACATAATGGATGCAATTATATTTTAAAGAAGCAGCATGTTCCTGATCAAAAAAAAAAAAGAAAGAAATGTGAGAGTTTTACAATCAAGCTTTCATTTTCTTATTACCTAAAAATCCAGCTTCTACAACATAGTGCAATTAGGAAGACCAAATGCAGCTTGCATGTGAACATCTTTGTTCTTGTATAGAAATTCTTTCGCAATTTTCATTTTATTAAAAGAGAATATGGACATCCTCAGAGAGCCCAACTAACTACTCTGAGAAGTTAAAGCATACAGAGAAACTCACAATCAGACCCCAAAACTTCCTGTTTGCCTTTACAGTCTCTTTTACTACAAATCAAGTTGGTCATACCTGGGAAAGAGGACGGCCACGTACTGGGACATAAGAACTAGGTGGAACTCTATTTAGAAGGATACTCTCATGAACAAAGACCAGATTGCTCTGTCCCAACTGCACTGTTGTCAGTGGCTGTCTTCACAAAGACCAGATTGCTCTGTCCCAACTGCACTGCTCTCAGTGGCTGTCTTCACCTCCAGGCCGCTGGAAGAAGGTCAAACCCACCAGGCACAATAACTTGGTTGCGAAGTTCAAGCTCAAAATGTTCAAAGGGAAGTTCTAATTCTGCAAAAAGTTCACTTTACAAATTACAGGAATCTGATAATCATCTACAGAAAGGAGAATTGGCACAGAAACTAAAACTCATGGATTCCTGCTAGCTGACATAGTAAAACCAAACCTCCTTTCCCTTTAGACATGAAGACAAGAAGAAGCATTTCTTTCTCGAGAGGAAGAGTTAAAACTTTGGAATTATAGCAGGAGAGCTTAGCTCACAAGTAACACCTTCGATGTTCAGAGCTCTCACAGCCAACTCCGGGGGAGAATCGTCCACACAGAGTTCTCAAGTTCAGGAGATAATTTCAATACTGTTTATCATATCAACAATGACATCACAATGGAGTAAATGGCCCATCACTACAACAAGAGAACAAATAATCCTTAATTCAGCATCTACAAGCTCATACTGGCTTCAAAACTTGTGAAAAGCTAGTACTAGTGAAAATAATAAAGAACAAATAGGTGGCTTCCCATCCTACAGAGCCTGAATAATATGCTATCATAAACCATAGGTTTTTCAACAGAGTAATTAAATTGTTCTTCTTTCTAAAAACGTACATCTATGTGTACAATCCTCTGCTCTATGAATTTTTACTTTTCTACCTACCAGGTTCCTCAGCCGTCACAACACTGCTTTCTGGCTTGTGAAGACACCAAAGCTTTTTGGGAGCAAATGGCACCGTTCTCATAAATGGGCTCAACGGTGACTATATCGTAACATGAGGAAGGCCTGAAAAAGAGACAGGAAGATTTCCCCCCCCCCTCCGCTCACAGGTGTATCGTTAAATGGGCTTTAAAAAAAAAAGTGACAGAGTGCTTAAATAAATGCAGGTTTATAAAACTGCATTAAAACACTCCCTTTTTTAGTATTTATTCCTGTAATAACCTGCTTCAATGCATTCGTCTCAGTGCTGGGTAGAGCTCGCTCACAACAGCTCACATACCAAGTTCCAAGGTGCATAGGCCAACAGTTGACGGTCCCTCTTCTCCAAGTTTTGATGTTGACACCAGCCAGCAACAACAGCCCAGAAAACAAACCAACCCTGCTCTGACTACACAAACTGGCATCCCACAGCTAAGCACAAGCAGATGGGACAACACCCCCTCGGTCACCTACTCCCTGTCAGATTGCAGAGCCCCCTGAGACTACAGTGCTTTTTAAACAAGGTAAGAGCCTTCTGTCTTGCAAGCACACAGCACAGCCATGCCCACCAGCTCACAGGAAGATCCTGAGCTCAGGGTTTTGGTTTTTTTTTCAGGACAGCCCCCCTTGTGCTCTCCAAACCTTTCCCTAACCCAGGAAAACAAGCCACTGACCCCTCCTCCATACATCCTCCCTTAGCCCCTTCTTTCTCTAGCCCTGTTACCAGAGGGTTCCCACCCCCTCAACACCCCCCATAGCCTTTTTTTCTCCCCTCAACACCACTCCCTTTTTCACCAGGAGCAACGGTCCCTGCTTCCCCACACCACTGCCCGCTCACCAGGAATAACACCCCCCCTCAGCCTCTAGCTCAAAGGGAACCCAGAGCTCCCGGCTGAAGGGCAGCGACACTTTGGGCACATTTAGCTTAAAGGCGAAGACGGGCACCGCCAAGAACAGGAGGAAGAGGAGAGCAGGCAGCCAAGCCCGCCTCCTCCTGTCAGACTGCAGCCACGACAGCGCTGGCAGCAGACCGCACTTCCCGCGCACCTCCGCCCTGCGCATGCGCGTTCAGATGGTCCCGACCACCC